TTTCAAATTTGTGCAATTCAGACCGCATCATGAGTTGAGTAATCAATACATTCAATTAATGCAACAATTATAGTGCAATGGAACCAGAACTATTAGTATATTCAAGTTTTGGTATCCACTGAATCTACTAAGCCCTTGTTCCTCTAAGGACATAACACTCTTCAAAAGTTCATTTGGAAAGTCAATTTCAAATTATAATAAAATTTCAAAGTGGACTTTTAAACCTTCCCAGAGAGCAAGAGCGTGAACCCTCAGCTGAGCTACGCTGATATTGTGCCATCTCCAACGCATCTCGAACTACCGTCAGACCTTTGGAGCTAACAATGTACGAGCTTCCACTATTTGCACGCAGAGCTCCAATGGCCGCAGTGTATGCAACGTGAGTATATTAATATCGCCAACCAAATACAGTGAAAATGTTTTTGGACGAAGCTTAAGCGTTCGAGCACTTGCTTTTAGTGTATTTCGTTACATGAGGAGAAATAACTACAGGAATATGTGATATATTATTTGAGAAATCAAACAATGACATTATAGGTACTTTAACTTCTAGTTATATTATATGTAACTAACTAGAGTACAACTATTCGAATCATAATATCGTCTCCTATATTATTTCAATAAGATAGGTACATTTTGCGACTCTTACATGCAACCTATCTTTATAAATGAAATCTCTGAAGAACAAGAATTTCACGGAGACGTGACGAATTGCGCTCTGATTTTTAAAATATTACTGTAATTTATAAACTATTGATGTCAAGTGCAACCCGCAACACTGGGTCGGATGTATAGTTAAATAACTTCTAAACAAACCGTTCTAGGGCCTTAAAAACTACAATTTTCAGACCAAAGGCCTCAAAGAAACGTTTCTCACACCCTAATCTTCAGGATGAGATATTCTTAGACATTCTATTACATTTTTGAAGGTTCGGCGCTTATCGATACTAACAATACCACCTATACATGAAGGAATACATAATATATTTCTCCATGACCTATATTTCAGCCCTTGGTGCTGGTGGTCATTTTGTGACGTTACGCTTAAAGGACTTAGATTCCTCCAGCTTTCTGTGTACACCGCGGTTTGCGCTGACTGACAAGGATTATTTACATCATTATTAATACAATGTTCATTCTTGCAGCAGCAACAACTAGAAGTAATATTAGTTGCATGATACCGATGAAGATTGTTTCTTATACGTGTAATGCAACCATTCGTTTAACATTTTGCCGTGGTGAACTAGTGTTTTGTACCTAATTGTGGATGAAACTGCGATAAACCGGACCACATGTTCCCATTTATCAGTTTCCCGATACCCTTAGGAACGGTGGGATTTCTAAATGCGAAAGTTCTCACACGGCTAGTTATATATAAAACATTGTAAAAAGATATATGGAAAAGAGATAATTTTTGGAATGAAAATTATATTTTCGTTTAACATAACAAACAATTTGGTTACAGAGTCCTCTAAAATTATTTCCCCAAAACTCAAAATTCTATCGTGTGGATGCAGAGTGCTAACAGCAGCTTATGTGTGTTTTTTTTTTCAGGGTGACAGCGGTGGCCCCCTGATCGGCTTGAGCTCCGGCAAGCTGATCAGTGTGGTGAGCTACGTGCGGACTGCGAAAGCGGCAACCCCAACGGCTACGATCGCGTCACCTCCATCGACTGGATCTCCCAGAACACCGGCCTCGCCTTCTGAACAGACGTTACTCTCGCCTGCATGACATTCAACCTTTATATAATTCATTTTGTAATAAATATTTATGATATAACAAATTTAATGTATGTAAGTTTTAAAATAAAAATGTATTTATTTTATTGACATACTGTCTCTTAATTAAACCTTAATTAAAACTTGCTAAAATTATCCCCTGAAACAACCCCTGACTTTGTAATAATAAACGACATTTAGAAGATAGATTTGATGCAAGATAAATAAATATATTATGTTACTAATTGATATATTTATGCCATTTAACCTACAAACAGAAATTAGCCGATTCAGGTAGCCGAGATCGCTAAGGCAGTAGTGCTGTGGCTGTGTGTAATGTGCTTGTGTGTCCCCTGTGGTGGGGGTCAGGAAGGGCATCCGGCGGTAAAATCATCACCAAAACAGTATAGTTCTGAGGAAAAATAATGAAAATTGGCCCACTCACATTAGCGCTGACTCCGTAGAAACGGGAAAAGGTGAGGATGGAAAAATGTTTAAAAAGAGGAAAAAAATAAAAAAGCATAGACCTTTTTCGCCTGATCTGCTTCCTCGAAATGACCTTCTACGACGTCGAGTTCACCTTTTTTGCAGCCTAAGCCATTGCGTACAAATCCGTTAATGACCGTCCTGCAGTAACCGTTAAGAATGTGATTTCAAATTAGTAGCATGGTAATTTGGAATACCTTTAGGTTATAAGAAGAATAGATGTTATAGAAGAAGCCTTGTCATCGCCTAGATATAATAGTGTTTCTGAAACTAAATAAATAGGCAATAATTGAAAATATGCTGTAGGAACAAAAATCGTGTCCTAATAAATATATATTTAAATTTCAAATTTATGAACATATATAGCTTACCATGTGTGAATATTTAAATATAAGATTGTTAACTTACGTGGTGGCAGCCTATATGTTGTGGTTCTCCACAATGACACTTTACAACTCTCCTTCACATATTGGAAGATGGTATTATACAATTAAAATCAATACACGAATTTGAGTTTAAAATAAAATAGTTTATGTGATATAATTATTTCTATACAATTAGATATTATACTGCCCGTCCAAAAGAAAAATGTTTATTTTAATGCAATAATTTGTATTTTTATTAGATAATTTTAAAAATATTTATTTCGCATGCAGTAAGTAACGTACGTCAGTTTCTGGGTCAATGACCCCTACCAGGATATTGTCGTTTCCCTCATCCATTGAGAAAATGCTGAGTTGGATCCTTGTTTTTCTTCTGGGCATAAATGTAGCTTCAAAATGCGAACGATTGGTTGAGATTTCCTTTTGCAGCTGTGGTAGGACAAGAGCCTAAGGTATTAGCCACCATTTTGTTAGCAATTCAAAATAAAATCTGTAGTTTGTTTATCGATTCATTTTTTTATAACTCGGGTGCAAAAATGTCTAGTTTTCAATTGTTGCTAATCTCGCTTTGTAGGAACTTTTATTCTTCATTCAATCATTATGTTTAGGTAGAGAGTAATGCTGAAGCTCAATAATATGTGAGCAGCTTGTACTTCGTCCCCTTACATTACATAATTGTTCTGTTCTATGGCGAAATAAATCAAATCAAATCAAATGGTTCAAAAGAGTCTAAGAGGTGTTAACCATAAAGTTTTTACAATTATTTAATATACTAAAACAATTGTTTTTACAATTAAAAATATACTCTCATGTCATGTTTTGGGAATCTGATCCCACCTTCACTGGCAACAAGTATCACGGATTAAACAAGTGGAAATTAAATCGGCGCCCTCTTTTATTCTGTGCACTACTGAGATTTACAATGTTGCGTTTATGTCATAATATCCCTAACATGAAATCACACGTGAAGATAACAAATCATGACATTTTCTATCAATTGTAAACTAAAACCATTTGACAGATGTGTGGTACACAATTTCAAGCTTTGTCTAACATTTACCTAGTACAGCAATGCGTTTACATTACATTAATCTGAGTTGACGCTTCAAAGGTAACATACACAGGTCTGTGAATTGAACTCTACGTTCACCTCCCATGACTGCATCTAACAGATTTCGATCAAAGGTAAAGATTATTGGCACCTCGGAACGGTGTTGAGGGATTAACTAGACGTTCAATGGCTATACATGTAAATGAACGGCTTTACAGAACGGTGCAATGAACTGAGAGATTGGGAGTCAAGCAAACAATATACACTGTTCTGTACTGGTTGCTTGCTCCACTACAGAAGGACTAGGGTCTGTGCTTCATTACAAATATTACCCTGAGAAAATCGCAAACTCTGACTTTTTTATTTTTTGCATTTTAGGTCGCATCTACATCTTGGACGTTAGAGACTACTATTGGTTTTAACGTTATTGGTTACTGAGTACTAGATGAAATTATATGGTAGTGATGGGGATTGGAAGGACGAACACAAATACAACCTTGCCTGAGGCGGACTCGAACACGCGATTCTTCGGCTTTACTGACTAAGCGATCTCGGTCACCGGATCGGCCAGACTCTGTCCTTACCTTCATATTCTCATCATCATCATCATCATCATCATCATCATCATCATCGTCGTCGTCGTCGATAGCAAGGATTAGACCTCTTGATCTGTTCAGTCTCGAAATTGTGCATGCCATCTCGTCAAAGGACATCCTACACTTCTTTTTTTGATTTCAAGTAACACTTTAGGGCTTATCAAATCTGAGATAACAATTCGCAATAGCGTTTTAGGTCACTCTGAAACGCTAAGGGAAATTAGAAAACAACGATTTAGTGGAACACACACAATAAACGTTGACAGAATTTTATCTTGCCGCAATTCGACGCAAGTCAGTCGTGCCTCCTTGTCAATTCACAAATTCCGGCATCAATTCATAAATTCGCCAGTTCGCAAGTTTTCCTTGTGTCATAAAAAAAGTAAATCAAGATTCTAATATGATCAGAAATGGTTTTCCCTGAATTGTTGAATGAATGTGAACAAAACCAGGTTATTAACAACATGTAGGATTTTCTCCAAAGTGAATATATCCCGATCAATCTGGCTCGACTTGAAGGTCTACAATTTTCGAAAGAATTCTATAAATTTTGGGTAAATTTACATTGTTTCTGGGTCATTTTCAAAATTTTCTAAAAAAAATACTCAATTTATTCATAATATTTTATCAATATATAAAAATGGATGCTAGTATGTTCGAAATCGATGAACTCCGACACTGACCGATATTCACATGGGCCAAGATTGCACTTCTTGGGGAAGATTTTTATGTTATTTATTTTGCGGTAACTCTACTACATGGGGATTCAGTTAAATGGACCTTCCCAATCCAACTGGGCTCCAATGTAGCTGGACGTTGCCATGTGACACAGAGCGAGGCCGGGGAGGACTGGAGGAGCAGGCGACGCGGGGTGAAGTGACGAGAGAAGGAGAGAAAGAGAGGGGAAGAGGAAAAAGAGACTGCGGGAAAAAGAGAAGAGGGAAAGAAAGAGAAAAACGTGTGCTAGGTTCTGATAGTATATACTTAAAACCAATTTTCTCTAAAATACCTTCAAACTTTTTCTTTTACCTTTTGGTTCGGAGAAAGCTAAATCCACCGACTAATGACATCAGGGCCATTTTGATTTGTTCAATCGATTTTTAAAAAAATACACAAATGTGATTTTTTAATATATCTCGTCGTTGAAATGTACATTATTGGATTTTTATACATTATTGAATGTGTAACCACATGTGATTTCGTATGGTATTTATCAAAAACACAAAACTTTTCTGTAAACATTTGCTCAAAATTTCGCATTTTGAGAAGCGCTCAAGCGATATTTTCTCAAAGCGGCTCCAAATTTTTTTCTTAAAACCTTTAGTACGGATAGAGACAAATGGGCAGAATAACATAACGCCACCACTATTTTGATGTATTTTATTTGATTTTTTTAAATACACAAATACTTTAAAAAAATTAATAGCGTCATTGTAATTTACTTTATAGGCTTGCTTTATGCATAGTTAGATTCATGAGTTCAACTATTGAAAATGATTTCTGATGAAGTTTTTCGAAATTTAAACGTTTTCTTGGAAAAAATGAGCTCACGTTCGTTCATTATCAGAAACCATCAAACGACATTTTCAGAAAAACAGCTCCAAAATTTTCAACGAAAAGGTGCATATTGATACAGGTTTTATTCTTCTAGAATAATATGTAAGTCAAATTTCAATCACTTTTGGAACCGAAAAAATTAGAAAATGTGAACAAATGTCTGTTAGGCGCCAGTAGATGGTAGCGCAAAAGAGGCTGGAGAAAATCAGAAAAGCCGACCGAGGTGGAAGAGAATACAAACGAGAATGTTGGGCCATACTATAGTCCAATTAGGAAGGGAATTTGTATAAAGGAAGAATATTATCTTTTTGTGGGCGCAGTATTAATTTCTTTGTGACTACGTATATTGATACTGTTTAAATTATAATTAGTTATATATGACTTGCGGAAACCCTTATACTGTAATTAAGTCAAAATAATCAAAGACTTTTCATGTTCAAGTGGACGGATCACTAGTATAAAAATGATATGACGGATACCATAGCGACAAAAAAGACACCCAAAAATTAAAAAAAAAACAAAAAACAATCGCTGGGGGTGCTTACCGAGGCAGATGTTTCCGAGGAAGAGGTCCAGGTGCCTACCGAGGCAGGCGTTGCCGAGGGAGAGCTTGAGGTGCTTACCGAAGCAGGCGTTGCCGAGCAAGAGCTCTAGGTGCTTACCGAGGCAGGCGTTGCCGAGGGAGAGCTTGAGGTGCTTACCGAGGCAGGCGTTGCCGAGGAAGAGCTCCAGGTGCTTACCGGGGCAAGCGTTGTCGATGGAGAGCTGGGGTACTTACCGAGGGAGAAATCGAGGTGCTTACCGAGGAAGAGGGTTCCTGAGGAAGAGCTCCAGGTGCTTACCGAGGCAGGCGTTGCCGAGGAAGAGCTCGAGGTGCGCGTGGTAGAAGGCCTGCGCGCGCGACGTCCACCGCCCGGTCTCCCGGTGCACCAGCACGCGCACGCCGAAGGGGATGGCGAAGGCGATCGCCAGCAGCGACGCCGCCGCGTACCCTGCGCAGCCACAACCACACCCCGTCAGACCGCTGGCTACACACACACAACCACACTCCACAGCTTTGAGTGGAGGAGGGACATGTTCCCGGCGTATTTATTCGACTCCAGCCTGGAAAGCTGGTAGGTCTTCGCTGGCAGGGCGGCCCCTACCCAAGCATTGAATGAGGTAGCCCTCAGGGTAAACTGGGTTCCGGCCGGATCCCGATACAAGTCTGTTGGCGTACTTGTGGGGCACAGTGTGACTAGTGTAGGGGAAATTTATTGCAATGTCCTAAATAAAATATGCTTCGGAAACTCCATTGCGCATGAAAAGAAAAACAAATTGTCTTCTTCGTCAGTACCTGATCAGGAAAGGAATGGGGAATATCATGCCGCTTCTTTCAGTGCACGTTTGAACTTGCAAAAGTGTCGCGCGGTGCAATTTTTCGCTCTCGCACCAAGAAAAGAGTACTGTTACACATCATGATGCATCATCCTGAAATCCTTAGTTTACAATTTTCCATTTATGGTTCCTTCTACCACGTATGACAGCATGAGTTGAAAGGGAAATTCTACGTGAAATTAATCTTGTCTGCGCGGCAAATAAGTAATCGACGCCGACCATTCTGGAAGGTCCAAGGAAACAGTGAAAAATATCCAGTAGAGGTAATCTGACCCATTTAGCGAAGTTTTGACGCCACCACGTCGACTTGGCAGAATGGTAAGATTTTCCTGAACACGCCTGGACCCGGATACGTTTACAAAAGATACACCTATATGTGTGTATATATATATATATATATATATATATATATATATATATATATATATATATATATATATATATATACACACACACACTTTGAGGTGAGTACTTTAAATCTGTACTAGTAAAAACATTCCGTCAATAATAATTGTGTAATTCCCAGAAGAAACCTCATGTGCCACAACTTAATGAAAGATTTAAATCTGATTATTCATATTGTCTTTTACTTACCTTCTGGACATTTCTAGGGTATGATATTAACTGAATCTGATTTTGGAATTCATCTTCTTTTCAAAACATTATTCAACGTTTACCCATATTTGCTCCATTTTCCTTAAGGTACTTTGTCTATAATGATGCGTACCTGGTTTTGTTAGCCTTTCTATCTACAACATTCTTTTTTTATTCTTCATGATCTGTTACTGAGAGTTATTTGTTAACAAGGAGGGATTTGTGTGATGTTATTTAACTCACTGAAACGAAAAAAACGAAGAAAAGTATATAAAGTTTCACCCGAAAAATGTCCAGAGAACTAACAAGAAAGTTCTTCGAAGAGTGTTAATTGTATCCGACCCATTGATTTAAGAAATGTAACAGAGAAAAGTTGTAACGAAGGCATTTGAACTCAGCCAACGATGCGGTCTCACCCGGACAGTCAAGAAGTCATGAACTCGAGACGTGGGAGCTTACGTGTACAATGGCATTTTACCAAGAAGTTACACCAATGTCAATGCCTTCAAGTACAAATTCACTTCTGAAAGAGAGTCACACGATGAAAGTTCTGATTCTGAGGTTATATTGTAGTGTATCGAAACATATTCAAATGGTACGTGATTTTTATTTTTCTATATTTTCTACTGTGATTGAAGCATAACAACCAGCTCTAGATTTTTGTTCTTTTTTGCACACGACACATCTTTCTGAAATAAACTACTATGGAAAATAGTGACATCTGACTTATTTATCGATCTCCCAATAATACAAAATTATATATTTAATTATATAATTAAATATGTAAAGATTAAATAATTGAATAATTCATTATCTAAGTACAAAATGTTATTTAAATTATAACTTCCTCTCACTTCAAATTATGCAGTTATTTAAACTAACTCTCCGGGTATGAGTATAAGCTCTATCGTATCGATAATAGTATTTCCGCACTTTTTTCAGATCCTTCATTCAAGGATAATTTTAAGTCATTGAAATAATTCGATACGTCAATACAGTACTTACTTGTCTTAAATATGTCTTCAGCATTGTTACGAGCTTTTATATATACATTCCGATTCATATTTGCAAAATAATATCAGGTTGGGGATGACATTTCATTTGCATCCTCACATTGTCGTTCTCCATGTTCTTGGGGTAGAGTCGAATCCTTTACGCGGTAAGTTTATTGTAATTAGGGTGTAAGTTCAGATGTAAGTGTAAAAATTAACGTCTCATGTAAATAGTAGTCTGTAAATTTATTCTACGATATGGTTAGTAAGCCCCCCCCCCTCTCCACGCAACCCAACATAAAAGTAAAAAATTGACTCATCTTTTTACGGGAAACAATTTGTAGCCTACTTGGGGTTGAAGGGGAGCAGTTTGCATGAACGACATATCTTTTGCATCAATAACATATGAATGGGTTGACCTAAAACAACAAAGATTGATGGCACATCAAATTATAATGAAGGCAAGGAAACAATTCCTTATGCTTCACAAGACCGAGGATGAAGTAGAATATAGGTTACGTAACATGAACTTCACGCTCCTGATGCAGAAAGAAGGAAGTTCATAGGCAATTACAGCAGGAATGAGCGAGATATAGTATTGTGCGTAAAAATAGATACCTAACACTATGTGTTGCTTATCGATTATTACATTTTTTTAAATGTATAAAATATTTGTGAGAAAAAATATTAAATATGATTAAGAGGCTTGATGTAAAATAACATCACGCAATACCATACATTAAAACACGAGAAACTACTATTGCTCCTGCTCACTTTAAACCGAGATTTCTTAGAATTATGGGTCGCTTTATCTAGATTATAAAATGATTTAGTGAGACCGAGACACATACGTCATAATAGAATCTAAAGGTGTCAATAAATTATCTTTCAAATCACCAGCATCTTTACCGGATTTGCGGGATCTCGAAGTGGTCTTTCTGTGTGGGCTCTTATAATACTCCTTCATTATTCAATGCTGATATGCGATTGGGGATGAGACAAATCTAAATTTGATCTTCTTCGTAGAAAGTGAAGCCAAATATTACTATTTGGGAAGGGAATGTTGCAAATGGTGGGCCATCAAGCAAGTTTCAAATATCGTCGGCGATAATATTCACATATCACTGACCCAGAAATGGAATAGGAAGGAGGGAAGGAGGTTGTATCACAGTACAGTCTGCATGCAAGCTTTGCTGCCGGACGTAAATCGTGCGTGGGCAAAGTCGAGTTAACGAGCTCGGAGAAAACCAACTAATTCAGTATGAAACGATCCGATTGCTTTTATCTAGGAAATCAGCTTCGAACAAGTGCGCACATTAGACGGCAATTTTCTATCAGTATATAGAGCAATTTTTATAAGAATGGACAGTTTTGACAGCTAGTGAAGGCAACATAACTGAAGGTCGTTGTGTCCTTCATCCCATTGTACTCTACTTCCTTCATTCGTTCGTATGCAGTTGGCTAACTTGTAAAAGGCTTCGATGCTTCCTTTTGTGGTGTCCTCATCCAACGTAAATGTTGTTCGTCGCAAGAAATAGTTGAAATTAGGAAGTGAAGTATTACTGTGCTCATCTGTACAAATTCTTTTTTATATTACATTGAATTTTCTTTTTGTGTGGTAAGTATTATGTTGATTTTAAAATCGACTCTTGAATGTAAGATGCGTACTGGTGCCCGTGTTTTCGGCTCCTATGGTGTAAGTGTTGGCGAGCTGTAATCGAGAGCGTTTCGTGATTCCGTGCTTTGCGTTATCAATTTATTTTTTATATAATTACACCGTAGTGAAACATGAGAAGCCATGACGTAACTAGAACCATGTACAAACATAAACACTTTACGAAGAGGCTTGGCTGAACAGCTGACGCGGCGGAGGGATACTTCTCTGAATTTCTTGTGATGTTTACTTGTTTAGCGAACTGTCGTTTTGGCTCATTCTTAGGCGTATTCTTCTATAAATGATTGCATCAAGGTCACTGGCCTAAGACGAACAATAAATATTCCTAATCCCTCCTATATCCCATTCCGTTCCCCTCCTAAATCCATTCCTCTGCCTTTCCCCCACCCTCAAACCCCCTAACAAAACTACCCGTCACTTCCCTACCCCAGCTCCCAATCCTCGTCCCTGTACGGGGGAGAGGGGTCGCAACAAACCAGCAGACAACCAGACATAAAAATTAAACATGTACGAAGAGTCTCATTAGAGACATGCAGACAAAACAAAATACACACTAGATCCTGTCCTGTCATTGGCCTACAGAAGGTCGAGTCGCCTCTTTATCGTGCGAGTTCTTGATGCAAAGTATTTTTACGCGTTGCAGTGGCACGCAGTCTTTCTCGCTCCGAAATTGAGAGAAAATATACCACTTTTTGCCCGCCTTTTGCACTATTTTCACGTTCGATTGTTATATTTTTATGACTTGGTTCTTTTTTATTTCTTTTACATTTTGATAGATTTTACTGGAGCCTTCCTGACTGTAGGGGTCTTTCTATGCTTACGCCGGACCTGCGCTGGAAGTACAAAAGCATTTCTAGCAATTGTTCAGTTTTATTCAATTGGAACGAAGTATGCATCAGAGATGAGACCCTGCGCTTATTAAAGAACCTCGGTCAAGATTTCCTCACGAACAAGACAATTCTCTATATTGGGTGGGGTCCGCAAACCAAGCGGAGTACACGTGTACACCAATTTTGTTTTTGTTGTTGAGTACGTTCCACTTATTTTGTTACATTGCCCGCAGTACATCAATTGACAATGATTTCTTAAAGATTGTAATAATTTGAAAGCGTTTAACGAACTATAAACAAGTTGTGGGGTACCTTTGTACCCAGGAAGATATTCTGTGTCACCGATTTTTATTACTTAGGAATTATGTTGAACATTAAACTTCTTGGATGGTCGTACCTAAATAAGTCCAAACTTTTAATTCAAAAGATAGTGGCATTTTTAAATTGACTTCATGTTTTCAGTTACGTATTTGAATGGCAGGCGTTAGAGGAAAATGTACTTTTCGTGTGCACAGGAATTGCAAACCAGCAAAATACGATAATGAAAAGTTGAGTGCTATGGGATGTTGAAACTTCATTTGATATGAATTTGCAGGTGTATAACGCAAAGAAAGAGAAAACAGCGAAAGAAATCAAGGTGTTCGAGTCTGTGCAAAAAGGAAATGTTATCACTACTGATAACTTTTTAACATCTCAATAGTAGATTAGCTTCTGAAACGTGGACTGAATTTGACAGAAACTCTTATGAAGAATTCAAGAAGTCTCAGCTGAACTGCGATTTACAATACTGTTGATAAAAACTAAACATAATTATTTTTTCAAGTCTTTCATTTCATTTTAACACTAGCTTTCCTCTTTAACAAGAAAATTAAATTTTTATTGGAGAACAATTTTTGTACACAAGGGACATTATGTAAAAAAAAGAATTCTTTCTTTCACTTCTAAGCATTATAACGTATCTCAAGAGTTCGTTCTGTACTTTAAAAAATTCAAATCATTTTTAAGAAAAGGCAGGATAAAACCATCAAGCATGATCACGATATTTTGGACTCAAATAATAAAACAAAAGCAATGAGGAGGATATAGTAAAAAATGCAATCAAATGAACTAAAAACCTTGTAGAGAACGTTGTTTTAAAAGATAACGATAGAAATGTGAACGATCCGGCAACAGTGGCTAGCATCTTTAACCAATAGTTTTCGAGGATTTCTGCCGATCTCCCAAAGGGCCTTTAGCCACAAAATTCAACGTCAGACATTTCTCCCAAAATTTTAGACACTATGTTCAATTCCGAATCTTCTTCCAATGAAATTATCAAAATAATCGGTAGACTAAAAAATAAATATTCGGCCGGTTTAGATGCATTTCAGGATTGTTTGTGTAAGACTTGAGCGCTCGCCATTATACACCCGTTAACTCACGTATTTAATGTATCCTAATAAACAGGATTTTTTCCAGATTTTTTAAAACAGCTCAAATTAAACCCCTTTTTAAAAAAAGGCAACAAAAATGAAATTAAGAATTATCGGACATTTTTTCTTTGGTCATTGGTCATTGGTCATTGTCTTTTTTAAAAAACAATAAAGATACCTTTTTTATGTACGAATGGAAAACTTTCTTAGTAACTACGACGAGTTTTTCAGATTGCCGACTTAACTCTCAAAATTACCTTCGTATGAAATTCAGAGAGGTTATTCGTCGCCAAAGTTTGTATGGATGAGTGGCGTGTAAAAATCGATATATCCATAAATCTTTTTACACGTGCTTGATTTATTGACCTCGTTAATTATAGTAACTCAATAAAATTCCATACTAATGAACAATTTTATAACTGAATTAAAGTTGCAGAATTCATACAAATTCGTTCTACGAAACTATACAAAGAGAGAAGACTTTCTGATCCGAGGAACTTCAAATGTTTCATCGGATACAGGTGTGAAACGTTGAAGGGCTGAGCAGGGAATGTTTGAAGGAAAGTTATGAAAAAGTCGTGGTGCTTTCAGCGACTAACAAAAAATGATTATTTTTAGATATTTAGGAGATCCTGGATTCCAAAGCGGTGTGGCAGAGAACATTGTGCTTCAAGAAAGCACTCTTTCTCAAACGTCCAGTGCTGTAATAGAATTCATTGTTTCTCAATCTCATATTTGCTAGCAGCGAGGCACGTAGTTTTCGTACAAGGTAACAGAGGGGAATAAAGTCTTGGATCGCACTGAAAAAAGCCGCACAAGAGGAGCTTGATATCAAACGAGTTCAGCAGAATTACTGCAAACTTTTGAATATACGAGAAAAAGAGATGAGGCGCTGCAGGAGTACTTCATGACGATGGAAATAGCTAGCCGAGGTGACAATGACGACTTCTTAATCCAGTACATTATCGACGGCATCGAAGACGATTCGGGGACAGAACTCCTACTCTATGGGGTAGGGGAAAAAAGTAAAACTTCGACGTCATGAGTTTGCAGCTGGAACAATCTCCTAGACGCATTAAATACCCGTACTAAATAGATAGGTGAACATATACGTAGGCCCAACATTTTTTTCACACGTCAAATAAAATTGTCTAGTACGATTACATTTCTTTAAAAACTTAGTTACCATGGCTTCTGCTCGAACTCTTGTATTTACAGTCTTGAGAGAAATATTATGCTATGTGCGGCAGGATTATTGTTTTTCAGTATCGTAGAAACGAGGCGGCTTCTTAACGATTTCAAAAATCAAACATTTGTTTTCTCATGTTAATTCGTATTCATGTCAATATAACTGCCGTTTAACGTGTTTTGTAGTCTCCTCCATGAAATTAAATGAGTGGTTTCGTACTATTTTAAATAAATACTATTAATAACAAAGATAAGTATAGCTAATTCATCATATAAATAAATTTGAAAAAATTAACAATAGCTGCTGCAGTTCTAGTTTAGTGCTTCTAAAATAAAATTATTCATTAAAAAATAAAAAGAAGTAGTATGTAGCTGATGGTCGGTCGTCACGCCTTCCATCACATTAGTCTGCAGGGAAAGACCACCTCCTGAGTACACTTACAGCAGCAATGGCCTTAGCAGTTTACACATCCAGAATCACTAATCAATAAAAAATAGCAGAAAGAAGAAAGCAGTGTGGGAGTTTTGTCAGGAAAACATTCCCCCACCGCGAGCCCTTAGCGGCGTCCGCAACGAATTCCACGCGAGTTGGTTAACGAATGCGCGGCGTGTCGCTGGCTAATCGCAGACCCACTCGCACAGCCTTCGCCCGAGGGCTGCGGGTCGGCCGTCGCCCCAGATCTCCCTGCAGCTGCTGCCATCGGCACCCGGGGCGCGTTCGCCCTGCCGGTGGCCGCCGCCCCGCCGGACGGCACAGTGGGCCTCGACCACGCGGGCTGCGGTTTTCATCGATTGATGGTTCCTGCTGCGTCACCTGATAAGGTCATTGGTCCCGTTAGAATAGTCTATGTTGTTTTATCGCTGGAGGAGCAGTGATCTTCGCTGGAGTGCGACTGGGTGCTGCTGTCCCAGCATCGGCTTCTGATGTAGAATAAGAGGCTAACCCAATCCAGCATTCCAAGGCTGTCCCTGTGTTGAACCTCACATAGTCGTGGAGCTGGAGGATCGGGAGGCTGGCTAGTTAATTGACTGATTAGTGATTTCGAGTGCATCAATGGCTAAGGGCATTAGTCTCATAATTGTTTTTCTCTCGGGAGGTGATGGTGATCTTACACCCTGCTGGATGGCTACATCCGGCGCCGACCTAAGTCCACTAACGGGAATTCTCCCCAACCAGATAACTCCCACCAGCGTGTAACCGCCCCCTTCGCAAGAAACTCTAAGCTCGCGTTTGGTCTCCTGCGAAGTATGATAGAGAAGTGTATGATGAGGGCGTGGGTGTAAGTAAGAGGTGAAGATAGGACAGGGAAGAGGAAGGAAATGATCGCGTTGGCGGAAACCATGAAAAACTAAGGGCCAGAGCAAAAAGGACGATAGAATTGTCAACACAGCAGCTGAATTCAACCTAGCTGTCTAGTTAGAGTCAAAATTCCTGCCTCCTTCGGGACCCGGAACTCAAGAAGCGCGGACTAGAGGAAGCTAAGTTTCTATACATCAACGGAATACACCGGTGTCCAGCTTCAAAAGATTTCATGAATAACAAATATTCGACTATAATTTGAGCAGACACAGGTATATTGAATTAAATACTTTTAGATTGCGAATGTTACGTTTCGGCTCTTAAATGTATCGTCAGGAATCAGAAGATAAACTATCATTAGGAAAATGAGACACAATCGAGGAGTTTTCTCTTTCCTGATAAAAGTCACAATATGCCTAAGTGCCGAAATGTAACATTTACCATTTAAAAAATTTCGATTCAATGTAAATGTGTCAGTTAAATAATGGTGGATTGTTTGTTACTCAAGAAATCGATACAAACGTGAATTATATATTGATCAATGTAATTTCCTCCCAATATTTCTTTTATCGCCTCGGCTCTTAACAATTATCCAAACAAATTCCTTATTTTTTTAATGCTAATATTTGTTACAATTTCGGCTAAGTATGTCACGGAAAATTACCGACTTCATGACAATTTTATATAGTAAATAACTTCATTACAAACAGTTGTTTGTTTTTTATTAAATACCCCGAGTTAGGAATACATCGGTAATATTTCGTTGTGTATACCAAACGCAATTTTTGGGACAAATATCCGTCACTTACCCGGTTTTTAAACACTCTTATAAAAACGCCCCTCTCATAAAATTTTAAGTGCGATTCCATTTTTTTAGAACAATGAATAATAGCAAATATTTGGCCTGTTAAGAGGCTGTCTAAAACCGAGTCCTTGGTACCTCAAGATTCTTTTGCACTAATCCAAATTTCCTTTAACCTATTTGTCAGTCTCTGAACCCACATTGACAAAATTGTGCCAAAAATAACGATATACAATACCAATCATATTTAAAGAAAAGTTGGTTCAATGGTCCTTTCCATATTTTATCGCACTATGTAACCCTGTAACATTTTGACGATCATTAAGTAATCTATATTACCATTTTCTTTTTCTTTCTTTCTTTTTTTTCTTTTTTTTCAAAATTGAAAAAAAAGGCAGCCTACATGTGGCGGATGTATACGGTTTTGTTTTATTCTCAGGAACTCACGGAAAGTGAAAAGTGTTTCATTGCTTTTACATTTTGAGCAAAACAAATTTTACTGCGGTATTCCGCTTATTTCCTTTCCATACGTACATCTGATTTTTCGTACTCGTGCATTATTACTTACGACACATTTACAACACGCGGAGACAAAATTGCAAGGAAGAGGAGGTCCGTCATTAAATATTTTCTATTTTCCTGGAACAGGAATTTTTTTGTATTCTTGATATTTAAAGATGAGTTATTTTGTGTATACGTATATACTTTACAATGTTATTGTACTATATTCTTGAAGAATCTTTTGTTACAAATATTTAATTTATTGTAGTGTTATTAAAGAATATTAATTCGTTATTGAGCAGTGTGCATGCTACGTTTTGGAAAAATATTTTGTGACTTTTGTTCAGTAGCATTTTGGCTACTGCTTGCTACTAGTAAAGTAATATAATAGGATACTATTTTTCGATACGTTGAAAGAATAAAATAAAATAACAAGAAATAAATCAATGAAATTTCCCGACTTCCTCTTACTCCGATTATTCGTGGGTAGAGTCAGGAATAACGATATAGTAGTTAAAGTTGTCATTTTGATTACCGTAGAGTGTGATTACGAAGATTTTGACACAATCTCTAATTCGGTTAACTAGGGCGAGTATTTTTTGACGTTTAAATTTTTTATTTGCAAGAAATAAAAAGCCGCTTTGAACATAGTACAACTGCTAGGATCTGTTATATTCAGGCACCGTCAATTACGAATAGTATAGTTAGAAATACTTTTCAAAAATATATTTCATTAAAAGTTGTTTAGTCAAACAGATGAATGAAGTAACGGTTCATGTCATATTGGGAATGCAGAATAGTAATTGGGTTTTCTCGTTTAAGGTTCTTAAAAAAACAATTTTTCTACAATTTTTTTCCGAGTATTCTAGAAGGCTAGCGTAACAACAGTTCTAATCGGTTCGTCTTGTGAATAGGAATGAAAGAATATTGCTTTAAAATGAATTCACTTCTTAAAGTGGAAAATATATTTTAGTAGCTTAAACTCTCCCAAAACACGTGTTGAGTGAGCCGAGAGGTGTATGTGTAACCTCATTTGACCAGAATGGTGGAAAAGATCTAACAATGACACAAATCTGCGCACGTTCCCCGATTACTGTGAGTAGGATACTTCTCCTGTAATTTGATAACCATTGACTTGCAAAAGCAAAAATGCTGCTGGCGTGTGTGAGACAAATGAAGTCCTGGAACCGCAAAATCTGGCTGATTTGAAACGGTAAACGTGAATATTGACGCTTCCTTCTTCCTCGACGCATGCCATCAGATGTGACGTATGTTTTGATTCTGGACATAAATATAGTTTCACAATGGGCACATTAGGTTGAGCTCTCTTTATACCTGTAGCGGTTAGAGTAGAGCTGGGGGTGAGTAACTATTTTGTTAGCAATACGGAAAAAAATAAAATCTGCCGTTCATTACCGATACAAATAAGTTTTCTATAAGTCGGGAACGCAATTTCTATAACACGGTTTGCAAGTGTTGGTAATCTCAAGATTTTTGAAATTTTATTATTTTGTTTGTTTTTGTTCTTCAACGTTTATTCATAAGCAACAATTTATAGTTGACATGTTAGGGACGAATTCTGGATCTCAAGAAAACCTGCGCAGACTATCTTCTCCCTCATACGTCACATACAGTTTCTACTGTGTTTTGACTAAATAAATCAAATCAAAATTAGCAGTTTCGCACTCAAAATGGGAGTAAAATAATGAAATGGGATATGAGAATTTTTTTCAGAAATCGAAACCGTTTCAATGTGTGTGTATTTTTCCAGTCTTCCTGATATTAAGAAAAGCACTTACATCTCTCATGGCCAGACATGGTCACATACTGCTTAGTTTTCCATAAATGTATGCGCATATTCTAAACCCATATAAATGAAACTGGACTGTGTGTGCCTGTGATTTCAAAATAAATGACTTTTTAATCTCATATCTTTATTTACGTTGTATTAAAATATTTCAATTGTTTCACGATTTTTCACTGCTGAAGGGTAATTTCTGGAACGGCTGCACCAATTTGGAGGAGTTTCTCACAGAAGAGAAGTGCATTTGTCACGCGTAACTCCGGATACTATTTTCAAGTTATTATTTTCTCTTATTCAAAGCAGACTTGTTGACTATTTATTTCATTCAAATCTACAGTTTCATTCCGGTTCTAATGAAATTTTGTACACATGACCATCAAAACAAGAGCAAAGTTACAGCATTGGTGAGATTTAGTAAAGACAACCAAGCGGGTTGTCTATGTACATTTATCTCCATTGACACATCTACAACGCCCTAAAAATTCCAAACGCATTCTCTAAGTGGTACAAACGCTTGCCAAAACAAGTGACGTCTGTTGAACTGTGTACCATACTGTATGACCAACAACTTCACTGATGACATGATAGTGGTAAAAAACGAATATTGTTTGACTTATTTTGTATTTGGAGACAAAACACTTCTGCTTATAGAAGAGGGTGTGCCGTGCGATCAAAACTTGGCAACAAAGGAGGCAGAAAATCGTATTAAATTCAAATGTCTGGTAATAGAGATCAGCCACATATGAGACGTAAAAGCACAGGTCATTCCGATGGTTTTCGGCTTCGGCATTAGTTCTGGAAATTTTTGTGTAAGAGCCTGGCAAGACAGGAACTTTCCAGGACATTCAAAAGACTGGTAAGTGCAAGGCACTGCTTTATGTGGAACAGCTCGCATTTTTTGCAATTTTAAAGACAATCCATTGATTAGCACCTTAGGGAGGTGACTGCAACCTGGAGTAGATTTTATATTCAACCAACTCCCATCATTAATCGTTAATTGGAATAATAATAATACTTTTAGTAATAATAATTATACTTTTAATAATAATAATAATAATAATAATAATAATAATAATAATAATAATTATTATTATTATTATTATAATTATAAAATACTTTATTCGAGGAGAGGATCTGGCAATAAGGACTGCTCTTCCACCGAAGTAAGAGTAAAAGTAAAGATGACAGATTGGCGAGGGCGGGGAGAGCGAGGCAGGATAAATATCCGGACAACGCAGGGCTCTACTTCAGCTGGTTAGTAGCATAGCTTCTCGTCTCGGGCACACTGCTGGGC